CTCTAGGATATATTCCAAGGAGTGGGATTGCTGGATCGTATGGCACTTCTATTCTAGATTGTTAAGGTGGCGCCACATTGAATTCCAAAATGGTTGTACCATTTTACATTCCCACCAACAGTGTGTAAGTGTTCCAGTCTCTCCACAACCTCTCCAACATTTATTATTTTGTGTTTTTTGGATTAATGCTAGCCTTGTCTGGGGAGAGCTGGTATCTTGTTGTAGTTTTGATTTGCATTTATCTAATGACTAATGATCATTAGCATTTCCTCATGTATGTGTTAGCCACCTGAATGTCTTCTTTGGTGAACTGCCTGTTCATATCCTTTTCCCATTTTTTAATTAGGTTATTTGTCTTTTTGTTGTTGAGGTTTTGCAGTATCTTGTAGATTTTAGAGATTAGACACTGATCAGATATGTCATAGCTAAAATTTTTTTCCTGGTCTGTAAGTTCCTTTTACTCTTGTGGTGAAGTCTTTTGATGCACATAAGTGTTTGATTTTTAGGAGCTCCCAGTTATCTAGTTTCTCTTCTGGTGTTTGTACATTGTTAGTTATGGTTTGTATTCTGTTTATGCCATGTATTAGGGCTCCTAGTGTTGTCCCTGTTTTTTCTTCCATGATCATTATTGTTTTAGATTTTATATTTAGGTCTTTGATCCATTTTGAGTTAGTTTTTGTACATAGTGTGAGGTTTGGGTCTTGTTTCATTTTTTTGCAGATGAATATGCAGTTATGCCAGCACCATTTGTTAAAGAGACTCTCTTTTCCCTGTTTAACAGACTTTGGGCCTCTGTTTTTCTAAGTTTAGAACAATCTTTTATTTCTTGATATTACCTTGACTTCCTCTCCATGTGAAAGTTCTATGACTGCATTTTTTAGTCCCTCTTTTTTGTTTTAATGTTGTCATCTTTTACATATTGATGTCTCTATTTCCCTATTTTCAGTGTTTTAGCTTTGATTTATTTTTGTGACTTCCCTATCTGGGTTGATATCTGGTTGCTCTGTCCTGTGTTGTAGTCTTGGGTTGTTATCTGATGTTATTTATTTTCTAACTGGAGGACTCCTTTAGTATTTCTTGTAATTTTGGTTTCATTTTTGCAAATTCCCTGAACTTCTCTTTATCTGGAAATGCCCTAATTTCACCCTCGTATTTGAGAGGCAGTCTTGCTGGATATATTATTCTTGGCTGTCAATTTTTTTCCTTCAAGGCGTTATATATGTCATGACATTGCCTTATTTCCTGCATGGTTTCTGCTGAGTGGTCCTAGCTTAGTCCTATTGACTCTCCTTTGTAGATGACTTTTAGTTTATCCATAGCCACTCTTAAAATTCTCTCCTTATTTTTCGTTTTGGGAAGTTTGATTATACTATGTCTTAGTGACTTTGTTTTGGGGATCTACCCTGTGTGGGGTTCGATGAGCTGCCTAGATAGATTTCTTCTCATCTTTCATGATACCAGGGAAGTTTTCTGCCAACAAATCTTCAACAATTCTCTCTGTATTTTCTGTTATTCCCCCCTACCCCACCCCCCATTCTCGTACTCTAGTCACATGTAGGTTATCCCTCTGGATAGAGTCCCACATAATTCTTAGGGTTTCTTCATTTTTTTAATCCTTTTTATCTGATTTTTCCTCAAATAAGTTGGTGTCAAGTGCTTTAACTTCAGTCTCACTAATTCTGACTTCCATTGCCTCCATTCTGTTCCTCTGACTTTCTGTTGTCTAATTCTATAATTTTATAGTTAATCTTTTGGGTTTCTGTTTACTGTATCTATGGATTTTTGCTGCCTGTTAAATTTGTCATTTTGCTCTTGTATAACCTTAAGTTCCTCTATTGCTTTTACTGTTTGTTCTTTGTCTTGATCTGAATTTTGCCTGATATTTTGAAGAGCTCTGTATGTTAATCTTTTGAATTCTACCTCAGGTAATTCCACGATCTTTTCTTCCTCCGGGAGGTTTCCTGGTTCTTTGTTTTGGTCGCTTGCCGAAGCCATCGTGGTCTGCCTGTTTATGTGATTTGATATTGACTGTTGTCTCTGAGTCATTAATAAGTTATTAGATTTATTTATTTTATATTTGCTTACTCTGTCATAGCTTATTGTTTTGTTTTGTTATGATATGCCCAAATAGGCTGGTCATGTGAACTACTTTGATTGTTGGCTTCTTTGAAGCTCTCATGTCCTCTCACCAGGTGATTAGAGCTGCTGCTAGGTATGGGAGCCCAAGAGTCCATTTACTTTTCTTGTGTGGATTCAGCTCAGGTGTCCAGGTCTTCAGTTACCAAGTGTGTGGTGCAGGATCTCACCTACAGTCCTAGATTGGCAGGGCTACATAGGGGTGATTGGAACAGATACAGGTATCTGGCTACACTAGGGGGTTATGTGCTGAACAAGGTAGTGAGCTGACAGTTGCTTCTGAGTGCCTGGATGGAAGGCGTGTCCCTGTTCCCTAGAGCGCATAGATGGGTGGGTTTTGCAGCTGGACTTTGGGCAACCAGTACCGTAGGTTGTAGGGACTGGGAGGCAACACTTATTCTTGGACCCCTGTTGTGGGTGTGTAGGTGGAGTGGATGAAGCCACCAGTTTTCAGGCCCGTGATATAGGTATGTGAGGATTTTGCTTACTGGGCAGGCGTTGTCAAATGTCACGAATCTGCCACTCCACCTTAGCTGTTGCAGTTGAAAATAGCCTTCAGGTATATACCCTGTCATACTGTGCTAGTGAGGACCTACGCTGTTGAAATGGACCCACACAGGTCTAGGCAGGGGTGAAAGGTATTCAAAGTCTGTGGACTCCTTATGCCTGTGCCTGGGCAAAGAAACTGCCTGCCCTGAGGTCCTGGCTTAGGGGAGCTGGCAGATTATTTTTTCCTGTTTGTTAATTTGTTCCCTGTCCAAAGCTGAGGGAATGGCTCAGGGTGCACGACGGCTCCCACTTCCGTCCTAGGGGTCATGGCAATCACTGAAGCCAGAGTGGGACTAGAACAGAGTGGGGAGGGAGCGAGTGAATGGGAGAGAGGTATTTCCTAGAGGGGTAAGGGTTTTTTTTGATTCCTTGCAGTAGGTTAGACGCTTGCATGTAACTTTCGCAGATCCAGCAGTGCTTTCCCCTAGTTCTAGAGGCTTGTGCAGACCCTCTGCTGCTCTTTTTCTCCTAGTGTGGAAAACGTGACCCAAGCGCTACTGTTTGCCTCAGCCCCCACATGCCAGCCTGTCCAGCCTACAGGGTGCCAGCCAGGTCAGGTCTGGCAAATCCTCACTACTTCTGAAATGTCTCTCTCTCCCTCTGCCACTCAGTCCGACTCCTCAACTTTGTCTTAGATGTTCAGGTCTCCTAAATTGTCATATATAATCGATTCACTTGTTTTTTTGGGTCTTTGTTGAAAAGGGACCACAGGAAGAGTCTGACTACTCCGCCATCTTGGCCCCGCCTCTGTTGTTGCTTTTTTGGTAGTGGTTCTCAATCTGGGGCACTTTCGACGTACTGGGGACATTTGGCAATGTTGGGGATATTTTTGGTTGTCACAGATCAGTGGGTGCTACTGGCATCAAATGAGTAGAGGCCAGTGATGCTACTAAACATCCTAAAATGCATGGGGCAGCCATCAACAACAAAGAATTATCCAGCCCAAACTGTCAATAGTGTGAAGATTGAGAAGCCCTGGTTCATAGTAAACCTTAAGTCAGCTAATGGAAATCTTCCAGTTTTATTGTTTAGTCTATCATTTTTTATAATATAGTTTTGGCTATTCTGTCTTTTTTGTATTACCATATGCATTTTAGAATCTGCTTGTCAATTTCTACAAAAGAACCTGTTGTTATTTTTAATAGGAGTTTCTTGAAAATATAGATCTACGTTGTGTAATATGCTAGCTATTAAACTTTGAATCTATTGTAAGTATATTATAAATAAATAATTAAAATAAATACAATTAAATATAAGTAAAAATTCACTACCTTAGTTGCACCAGCCACATTTCACAACTCCAGAACATTTCCATCATCACAGAAAGTTCTTTTGGACAGCGCTGGTATAGATCAGTTTGGGAACTATATATATCTTAAGTATTCATCATTCCAATCCATAAGCATTTAAGTTTTTTGTTTTTTTTTTTAAATAGAATCCCTGATCAGATTGTGGAAGTTCCATTGTGTTCCTAGTTTGCTAAGAATTTAATTATGAATGGACTTTGAATTTTGCCAGATGTTTTCTCTATGTCTGTTGAGATGGTTTTTCTCTTTTATTTAATAATTACGTTGGTGTTCACATGCTAAACCAACCTTGTATTCTTGGCATAAACCCTACTTGGTCATGGTCCATTACTGTTTGTATATATTGCTGTATTCGAATTGGTGATTTTTTTTTTAAGGACATTTTGCCTCTATGTTCATGAGGGATTTTGGATTGTATTCTTTTATAATGTCTTTATCTGGTTTTGATATCAGAGTAATGCTGGCCTCAAAGTAAGTTGGGAACTGATGTAGATGGAGAAATTTACCAGTAATTGACTTCCTACTTTGTGCCGCTTTATAAGTACCGTCTCTTTTAATTCTTAACAACTATGCTAGGAGGTAGTAATATCCCCATTTTGCAGGTGAGAAACCTCAGGCTCAGAAAGCTAATTTTCCCAAAAACACATGCCTGTACCTGGTAGAGCCAGAATCTGATTTCATGCTTTGTGGACTCTCAGACCAGCGCCTGAATGACACTTGCCATTGGTGGTTCCGTTTTGGCAAGCCAGGCTGTATGTCAGCCGACAGCGGTCTTTTAGTCTGGGAACAGAGCCTGGGTGCCTGCACTTTATTATGCTTGCAGAAAGAGAGCTAGTGGGGAGGAGGCCATTCCTGGGCCCTCTTTGCCCTCCAGCTGTTGTTTTGAGATGTGGAAACATTGGTGTCTCCATAGAAACCAACCTGGGTGGTTGCTGAGGACATGCTCCCATTGTGGTTGGAACTGGGAATTTCCCAGAAGCTCAGCAGGGATAATCTCTCTATTCCTAGGATGCTTGGATATTAATTCATCTGTGAAAGGGGCTCGTTTTGTCCGGTTCTGTGATGCATTCAACATTCCACTCATCACTTTCGTTGACGTCCCTGGATTTCTGCCTGGTAAGTCGGTGGCAGAGGTGGGAGTCACCAGAGGGGGGTTTGCCCACTAAGGCAATCACTTTATTTGGAGCTCTTTACTGCAGAATTCCTGAGGATTTGTGACTTCTCCAAATCCTGGGTGTCCAGGAGGCATAGCTGTTTGAGGGATGACCCTCCCCTGGCCCTTCTGGGAGGCAAGGGAAGACCTCACAATTGAGAGTGGTGGGCAGGCCTCGCTAGGACTTTTGTGAGTATTTAGTAACTCTTCTTCATGACCTAGGGACAGCACAGGAGTACGGGGGCATCATCCGGCATGGCGCCAAGCTGCTGTACGCATTTGCTGAGGCAACTGTTCCCAAGGTCACAGTCATCACCAGGAAGGTGAGGAACCCATTTCTGAGACAGTGGCCTCACTCTGTCTCCCTGCAGCACGCCGTGGTTGGAAGTCTGGCACAGAGTTTCACCAGGGCTGGAAGGAGGAGTGTGCCTTGCCCTCATTCTTGAAAAGATTTCGAGATGGCATTTCCAACCTTGCAGACACGTCCATGGTATTTAAACACAAGGGAACAGAAAATGGCAGTGGAAAAAAGCCAGGAAAGACAATAACATTCACGTGGAACGCCTCAGGGCTATGCCCACGTATTCTCTGCTCTGGCTCCCTGGCTTCACAGACATTGGACCTTCCAGAGCTCAGGGGGACTGTTCTTGCTCTTTGTTCCCATTTCTTGGCTTCTTTGGGTCTCTCAGGGATGCGAACTGGTTGTCTCAGGATCTAACATTTAGAATTTGGTTCTCTTCTAGGCCTATGGAGGTGCCTATGACGTCATGAGCTCCAAGCACCTTCGTGGTGACACCAACTATGCCTGGCCCACAGCAGAGATTGCAGTCATGGGAGCAAAGGTGAGGACCTCCAGCTTTCCCCTTCATGAGATCCAGGGAAGAACAGCTGGGAAATGTTAGAGTCCAGAGCCCTGAATATGGGCCAGGACTCAGGGGAGTTGGGCCTAGGTCTTGGCAAAGCTACTTCCTAGGGCCTTGGGGCCAGTTCTGCCTCCTGTCCTGGGCTCTGACTTCAGGCACATGCTGTGTCTTCATGCGGAGGGTAGGCGGACAGGTGAAAGGAATGGAAAGAGGGTGGTGGGGGCTATGGGTAAGAAGGGTCCATAGTGGGTTTTGAGATTGTCAGTAAAGGAAGAGGGTTGAATCAGCTGAACTACCCATTGGGAGGATTGGAGATTTCCCCCAACCACACTTCAGCTCCCAGGGAGGGCCCCAGAGCCACTCCTTTCAGCCCATAAGAAGCTGAACTGTAGCTCTGACCCTCGTGGCCTTAGGTAAGGTATTTCCTCTTGCTGGACGTATGCCTCACTCCTTGCCTTCTTTGAAATGGCTGAAGTGGCTGTTGGGGTTAAGTCAGATAACTCCCAGGGACCCCCAGAATGGATTTTCTGGGGTTCTAACTGGAAGACCCATCCTCCAGCACCCCCATCCTTCTATATTTCCAGTTCAGTCTGTCCTCTGGCTACTGAAATTTGTAATGAAAGCTGAAGATGATGAAAAAGGAAGACAGCACTTTTACTTGCCTTGATGCAGTGGTCATGGATCTAATAGTGGACAGTCTTGGCCTCAAAAAAGGATGATGAGAGCAGACAGAGAGTAGGAAAGAATCTTGGGAGAGGAGCCAGTAGCCACATCCTTGCCTGCACTGCTGCTCATTGAGGCCACAGCTGAGTATCCCATCATGTAGCCCTGGGGTTATGATGGTTGGCCCCAGGCAATGCATGCTTCTGTGCTCTGTCCCCTGGAGCTGGCACTTCTCTCCAATACTTTGATTGACCAAGAAGTTCACAACCAGAATATGCTTTGACCAAGAAGTTTGTAACCATACACAAGTGACAGTGAGTTGGAGGTTTGCCCAGGTCAGAAGTTTGGTGACTTTTCTCGTGACAGGGTGCTGTGGAGATCATCTTCAAAGGGCATGAGAATGTGGAGGCTGCTCAGGCAGAGTATGTTGAGAAGTTTGCCAACCCTTTTCCTGCAGCAGTGAGAGGTAGGGGACATGGTGGGAAGGGCAGTTTTATTAATTTGTTTGGTAACTTGCTCATTCTTCTACCCCAAAAAGTCTCACATAACTTCTTTTTGCCCTTGCAGCGTAATAGAGACTGGGGAGTGTTGGGGCTGTCCCTAGGAAATCATCACTTAAGGACAAGGGGGCTTGAATATACTGATTTGGCGACCAGGATCAGAATAACATTGCTTAAATGACACAATTTCTAAGTGTTCCAGTTATCCAGTACTGTGTAAAAATCACAGCTAAACTTAGTGGTTTAAAACAACCACTGTTTTTTTTTTTTTTTTTTTTTACTAATGGTTCTGAGGGTCAGCAGTTTGGTCTGGGCTCAGCTGGTTGGTCTGCTGGTCTCATCTGGGATCACTCATGCAGTGGTAGTCATCTGGTGGCTTGACTGGGGTCCAAGATGGCCTCACATACATGATTGGTGCTGGCTGTCAGCTGTACTTCTCTCTCCACATGGTCTCTCATCCATAGGGATGTTAGCCTGGGTCTCTATATAAGTGTCCTCAGGGTGGGAAGAGGACAGAGGAGTAGCTGCAAGGCCCCTTGAGGCTTAGGTTTGGAACTTGCACACTGTTACTTTTGCCATATTCTGTTGGCCAAAGTATGTCACAAAATCAGGTGAAGAAAGAGGTTCCGCCTCTTGGTAGGAGGAGTAGCAAAGTCATATTGCAGGGACTTGTGTCCAGGGATGGGAGGAATTGTAGTCATTTTTGAAAATACAGATATATTTTCATAATTTTATTTTCTGTTGAATTGTCTTGGAGGGGTGGAGGCATTGAAGCAAGCAGGGCAGGGAGGGCATCTAATTTCCCTTTTTTTGCCAAGTGATCCTAGACCAGAAGGTGGGGATCTGCCAGAAGAATAGGGTTTCTCCTTGGGAGGCAAGAGAAGGGTTCACAGGACCCAGCCCCTCTTTCAGCCCGTTATGTCAGGTTGGGCCCTGCTCACACTGTCAGCCTAGGGATGGTGCCTATGTTCAGCACAAAGGTGGAGGGAGTGTCATCTGGGGATGCAGATGACCAACTTCCTTTTCTCTGTTTCATCAGGGTTTGTTGATGACATCATCCAACCTTCCTCTACTCGTGCCCGAATCTGCTGTGATCTGGATGTCTTGGCCAACAAGAAGGTGCAGCGTCCTTGGAGGAAGCATGCAAATATTCCACTGTAAACAAATCAAAGGAAAATGAGCCAAGAACTAAATTACTTCCTGGCCATTCACACCCCATCCCTGCCTTTTACAGTCATGAACCTGGGAATCTAAATAGCAGTAATAACTTAAAATGACTAAGTTTATTAAATTCTTGAAAGGTCTCTTTTGTATCTTGCTGTACAATTACTTGCCTTATTATAAAGGTTAATTGATACTTTCAATGATAAATTTAAATTTTATTTTTTATGGTAGAAATATGAAAAATCACAAAACTAGAAAGAAACCAGTATATAATCTTATCACCCAGAGCTGACCCTTATTGACATGTCCATGTATTGTCTTCTTT